TTCGAGAATTCCTTATCTACGGCCATTTTTACTCCCGGAGAATAGCTTTAGGCTGTACTGAAAAGAAGAACCGAAAGACTTGCTACTGAAGGTCAACTCCAGCGAAGTGCTGGAGTAGAAAAGGAGTCCGGCGAAGTGCTGGGGTAGAAGAGGAGCGTGAGAGAAGATTTGAACTACTACTACTATTTTTTAAAATTAAAAAAAAGTGGTAGCGCGTAAGAATTTAAATTTTTAGCCAGAACAACTAGTAATAGATGGGCGGGAAACTCCGGTAAGATTTAGGCTCTCATAATGGGCTCTTCTAAGCCGAAGCCCAGACCAGTAAATTGAACCGTTGAACGTCGTAGACGGCCTTATGAGTATCGCGTCGGCCTAATTTCCTGAAGCCCAAATAATCCTTTCCTAGCCTAAATCTTTCTAGGAAAAATTATATATAATAGCAAACTAATAACCTAAAATAAATGAAATAGCTAGGTTTTGATTTAATTGTGCTCCATAGCAAACATTAGCTAAAATTTGTCAGCGTCTCTCTCCCAGAAATCTCGCTCGCCACTCTCCATTCTCGCTCGCCTCTCTTGCTTTATACACATAAGTGTATAATTATGTTTCTGTTTTGTATAAAGCGAGAGAAAATCGTATATACACATGCAAAAATATATAACTTCAAGTTATACACTTAATTATGCAATTTACATACATTTTAGTTTAAATATTGCAGAGAAAAAGACCAACGAATTATACAATTGCAGTGAAATACAATTTTCTCTAGTTTTATATAACAGAAGTGTATAAATTGTGTTTCTGTTTTTGTATAAAGGGAGAGAAAAATATATATCTTCTTGCTATATACTTATAATTATGCAATATACATACATTTTAATTTAATTCAACTGTATGCAAAGCAAATTTTATAAAAATATTGCAGCGAAATAGGCAGCGAATTATACAATCGCAGCGAAATAGGATAGCGAATTATACAATTTAGGCCAGCGAATTATACAATTTTGGCCAGCGAATTATACAATTGTATATGTATAGCGAATTGTACAATTTTATGTTTGCTATAGAACGCAATTATGCAAACTTTGTTATAACATACAAATATAAATTTTTTTGCTATATATGAAAATTATCATCTTTGTATGCATACTAGGGCTATAAGGTTTGAATCTCAATTTCATTTGAAATCAGTGTATGCTTACGAGATTAGCTTAAAATTATAATTTCAAAATCACCAGAAATCAAATTGTAATTTCAAAATTTATGAACTCTTAAACGTGACTGTTTAGTTTAAAGTTTGTATCATATGAAAATGATTATTTTGAAGACTAGCTAATTAGCAATATTATTGATTAGTGGGTCTTTGAATAATTCTGAGTATTTGAAATTTTGTAATAGCATGTAGTTGCAGACATCCATTTGTAAAGTGAAAACCAAGACGTCATTTATTAATGTGATGCCTTAAAATATTTTTATGCCTTGTTAATGAAGTATGATTTAGGTTTTGTTTGAATTTGCTTAAAAAAATAGTTTTTAAATTAAAAATAAAAAGTCAAATTGAAATAACTTTTAAGTCAAAAAAAAAAGTATGGAGAGACTTAGGGTCCGTTCCGATGGACTTAATAAAAGCAGCTTTAAAAAAGTACTTTTGAAAGTGTTGAAACTTATTTTTAAAATAAGCAGTTATGCGTTTGGATAAAAGTGCTGAAGTTGCTATGTCAAACGTGAAAATGGAAAAATGGAAGAAAGAGATGTTAGGGTTATGTTGGTAATTTGGAGATTGTAAAAAATATTAAGGGCAAAAAGATAAAAATGTGGTCAACTTAAAACAGCTTATAAGCTAAAAAAAACACCTTTACCCCAGCTTTTAACTTTTAGCTTAAAATAAGTTTTTTTAACTTAAAATAAGTTATTTTGAGTATTGTCAAACAGCTAAATAAGTCAAAAATCAGCTTTTAAGTCAGTTTGACCAGCTTTTAAGCTGAGCCAAACAAGCTCTTACTTTTGATTTTGACTTATTTTAAGTTATTTTTACCTTGTCAAACACAACTTATTTTAAATTATTTTTTATATTATCCAAACACTTTCAAAAATAAAAAGATGATTTAAAAGTGTGTATATATATATATATATGACAAGTTAGAGTTTACATGTTCGTAAACGATTTTTGTAGTGTAACAGTATATAAGGCTATGTATAATTTAGATAATGTTATTTAAACTTTGCATTTATGACTACTTGAGTCATTGAAATGTTCTTTTTGTGAAAATATTTAACAAAAGTAATAGTTGGTATAATATGATTGAGACTCATGCTTTCGAATTTCTCGTATTCATGTGATCATTGTATTGATCTTGCAAGAATACTGGCTAAAGGACAAAGAGAACAGTTGTAACTTAATTGCTAAAAATGAATTGTATGAAGAGTTATAAATATATGTATGTCGAAGTGAAGCAAATTATGATTATCAAATATCATATTGTAAAATATTGAGGATTAAAATTTAATATACCGAACCATACCGAGCTAGTCTAGTGTATGATATAGCACTTTAGATATCGAATATCGAAGTTATGATATCAAAATATTTAAGTATCGTACCGTACGATATAATATCTCGAATCAATTAGATGCATAAAAATACAAAGAATAGGATACGTACACTATGTTTAGCTCATTGTTACCCATTGTATTGTATTGTATCGTTCTATACCTACAATGTTTGTTTTGATTGTTATTTAAATGTATTGTATTATATTATTAAATTTGGTTGTTACATAACAAAGAAAAACCCTATTTTTGTTACCCATTGTATTGTATTGTATCGTTTTATACCTACAATGTTTGTTTTGATTGTTATTTAAAATGTATTGTATTGTATTGTTAAATTTGATTGTTACATAACAATGCAAAAATTCTATTTTATGGAATAACCGATTTGGTGTGTTCCCATTGTTACTTAATTTATTTTTAAATTATATCTTTACATAATATTTCAAAATACTATTTTACGCTTTACCTTAATTATTTAAATTTAGTAAAACCTCCTACCCTATAATAAAATGTTATTAAATAACAACAAACAATACAGTCTAACCAAACATTATATCTACCATATAATACAATATAATACAACACAATAAAATATAACGACAATACATTAAAAAACAATGGATAACAATTGATCCAAACAAAGTGGTAGTGTTTTATTTATCAAGCACACCATTTGCTAATTGAGAGGTATTAAAGGTATCATTTTCATCCCTCAAATGTGGAGGCCATGAAAATCCACAACCATACAAAAATCAAATCATGCAGTGATGCAGAATGGTTTAAAATTGCATTATTTGCGGAATGGGACTAATTATCAAAAATACCTGAAGTTCTCACATATATGCCTGAAAGTTCAAACTTTAAAGACGCTTTTGTTAGCTTGATATTGTTTCGATTTTCCAATAAGTAAATAAACTTGACAAAAATTTACAAATATAGAGTATAATTTGAATAGTGACCTCAAAATTATATCTGTTTGCATTACCCCAATTAATTATACGGCTCCATGAACAAGCCTAGAATAATGTGTTCGAATTATTTTCAGGCCAATGTAAAATCATATTTGACCCACTGATCGAGAAAAAAAATTGCAACTCTAAAAATTTAGATAGATTTCACCACTGAAAAATATGAAATGATATTGTACATTTTTCCTTATTTCTTTCGTTTTGAATATGATTGATGAGTTAAATAACTTTTTCCTTATTTCTACTTGTTGCACATTTTTGTTAGTTTCATTCAAATGGACAGTCCTTGAATTTTGGCCTTTAGATTTATGATTTTTGTTAGTTTCATTCAAATGGACAGTCCTTGAATTCCAATGCGTTTAATTATACATATTGCACAGTAACTTTTATGGGGAAAATTTGGTACATAATTAAAGTATTTCACATTCACATAAGATTTTTTGGAAAAGAGTTGAGTCACACTCACTCCAAAGGCGGTGTTATGTAGGTAGAACAGACTAACAGACTATTATAAGTCATAATGATTGATTGTACTGCTCGAATTTATAGCTTATTAATTAATATGGAAAAAATAACTTTACATCGATTTTAAATTAAACTGCAAGCTGAATTAAAGAAAGTAGTGAAATTCAAAAGAAAAAAAAAGCATGCGGCTGTGAGGCTTCACTAAATTCAAAGATTTGACACATACCTGATTAAAAATTAACACTTACCTAAAGCTTTGTTCCCTTCCATAATACCTAACTCTATCTAAGATATATATATCATACAATTGTGCTGGTCTTATCCAGCCACATGCAATATTAAGAACACGACATACTATATTGTTGTGCTCGTTTTAATAAGAGCACCAAACGTGAGGCTTTTTGCAATTATCTCCCCATTCTGTTAATTTTCCCAAGAACTTACATTTATCAGCCACATATAATTTGGGATATATGGAGAATGATGTTGAGAAATTTGTTGCCATGTTCTTCTTTAAATTAAAAGAACTTTTGCAGAAGAATCATTTGGGTTATACGACAATAACATATACACAAGGGATGCAGAAGACTAGTAAGCAATCGAACATAACATAACTTACAAGGATAAATTCCAAGACAAGATCAAATTTATGTAGAGACTTAAGCAAAATTTGATACTTATAGTGCCATTTGCTCTATCCATTGGCTGATTAAAAAATAGCTCAAACACATGACACGATACCATCATGGAAAATTCTACATAGTCAGTTAGGGGAATTCTTATCATCATATATTTACAAGAAAAACATTCGGATTCAATCAATGGTTGAGACAGAACTTTCACCATCGGCGTGCTCCCCTCCCAATCAGAGCTTCTTCAAACAAAATCATAAATCTTTAACTGATATCCACAAGTTTGGAATTACTTTAATTTTGTTTGGCACAAACAGATTTTTTGATAACACAAAATGCTTATGTCATACTTCACAAAAAATTTGAGAAACAGACCATCAAGTCTAATCAAAATAGAAACACATCTTTTCTCCCCTAAATTCATTACTAATTTTATTACATATAAATAAAAGGTTCATTATATTCTTGACCATCAACATGCAAATCATTACAAACGATTTCACACCTTATTCACACACACACAAATAGGGAAATTATAGAACACAAGCTTCCAAATAGGGAAATTAGAAATCCCTTCCCATAAAATTTCACACACACATAAAAATTAAACTTACTTCTTCATTTAGTAGTAGAAGAAGCGGAAGTACATTCAGAAGCAACATCAGTTTCCACTTCCCTTCTGTGGAAATTGCGGTGGCAGCCACAGGCTGCACAATTTAGGGTGCCGGAAGTAGTGCCCTCGGGCATGTACTCCCGGCACCCATCGATAACGTATCCACCGACACTAGCAGCATGATTTCTCTGGCACTCAACATATCTCACTCTCCTCATGGTAAAGGATGAATTTGTAGAATTTCTTGAGTAATCATTTCTCCTCAAAACTTTTTTCATCTCTTCTAATGATTCAGATAAATGAGAAAATTGAATATGGCATATGTGTTACTGGAAGCTAGAGAATAATAATAATAATAATAATAATAATACACCCTTTTGCTTATCTGGAAAACCCTAACCCTAGAAGGCATATTTATACAGCCTAATAAAACCTTTTTTCTTTGTATCTAAAAAGTTACTAATATGATACCAATATATTAGTAGCTAAGACTTTCCTTTTAAATCTTAATTACAGTGTTTTTACCGTTACCTTCTTTTATTAATGTCATAGTAATCTTTGTAATGAATAATTGATTGCGCCAACTTCTAATCAAACTAGCTAGCTTACTTTAAAAGGATTTGCCGTCACTAGTTTTTTTGGAAAAATATTAATAATTCATTACATTATAATTACCTATTGGTTAATGGTGATGGATTTTTATGGAACGGCAGCTATATATTTTTGCTACTATTTAAGACTAATTAAAGTTGTGTGGCCCTCACTGATGATAATTAAAGTTATAATCTATTTCTAATTATCCAAGACTACCAAGAGAGTTCTAGAGTCTATTAATCAAAATACGCAATTTGATTATTTTGTACTATAACGTACCAAAATTAAGTAGACAAACCTTTTGTCCTCCCCTCGAGTTTATTTACATGCAGATGTAAGAAGAAAGAAAAAATGTTTAGCGTAGTAATTACACAAATTAATATCATGGTCAATTGATATTCAATTTAAGTAACTTCTTTTTTTTTTTTGGTTCATACCATTTAACTATTAGATATTCCAATTACTACGTATGCATATATTAAAAATGAACGAGTTCAATATTCTTCATTTGGTTATTTGGAATAAACTCTCTTTTTCAGCAACTTTTTCCAGTGTATAAATCATCACCATATTTATTACTATTCAAACCAGATGGCATATATCAAATTGTATGATTAGTTATTTAGACGCATTTATGATGAATAAACAAGACTACTGTACTGGCTCTATTCTCGTATGAAACAACGATAGAATTATTAAAAATACTATTGAACTTGACGCAAATTATTAGTTTCATTTCTAAATAATCCGTTTATACTTGACTAACTTAATTACACCTCTAATTTGCTACATGACATATAAGTGGTCTCAAATTAGGAGCTTAGAACGGATTATAATACATAAAAAGTCAAAAGACGTGTTGAAAACACTCATGTACTTGATAAATGATTATAATTTTTGTTCCGAACTATTGGCACTAGATTTTGAACAACCAGAAAATTAGGCCTCACGTGTAATAACATTTGATTCATCGAGACAATGTGTTTGGCAATGTTAGATAACGACCTCAACGAGCCTTAAAAGTTTTTCACCCTTTTATGTTTCACTTATAGGTCGGTTATAAATGGTCGTGCTTCCAAAGTTCCAATTTATAAAGGCCGGCCACAAATGTGTTATACGGCAGTAGTTTATTTAAGTGTTTTTCATTCATGGAATTCCATGCTTACGGTAAAGGACGATAAGAGTTAAATTCACCTGAATCGACATTATATATATTTTCACGAATTTTGGTCATGCACGTTTCGAACTTTACGCACTTGCATGTATATATTACCCATTAAGGTATCCTTCTACCCAACCCTTTTAATTTTATTCATTATATATATTATTTTTAATACCAAAAGTTTAGCAAAGAAAAATATAATACGTAAAATGTTTGCATGGGCACATTAATGCATTTTTATATATACATATAAGATATACAAATATGGAAGGTGCTCGAGTGAGTGTTTATGTCGATACAAAAAAATAGAAGGGGTGAGTGAAGGAAGGTAGTTAAATGTGATTATGATATGCATTAGAATAAAGTAATTGAAATAAAGTTAAAAAAGAAGGTAGTTAGTAAATGTTAAATGTTAATGGGATTTTGAGGTTGATAGGTCCTTAATTAAAGAGAAACATGATTGTACTTTAGTGAAGGTTAAATTGAATGATGACTCATAAGGCAGAATTTGTTTCTCACCTACCCGACCCATCTCCACACCAAAAATAAAATAAAAAGACTTGTGAATTTCATTAGCTTTTGGGACCAGTAAACAAAGAATCTTAGGCACCTAAATTTAGCTTTTCCTCTATTGACGTAACTAATTATCAAATCAATAAGACAACTAAGCACGGGTTTAATTATTGACACTGATAATGAAATTGTTTGCTTAAATTAGGAAATTTGGCGTTGATTGATGCAACTTGACACTAGTTAGATGCCGTCTCATACTTTTGTAATTGCAAAATATATCATATATATATATATATAACAATATTTATTTGCTTCAACTAACGGGAAGATCTACTTCATTTTTCCTTTCTTTATATAATTAATTTGTTGTTCTTCACACGATAAGTGTACCTTAGAAGTTTTTTAAGCATTATACTATAGTACTAGTAACAAAATAAATTCAATATACATGACTTAGTTTGATTTAAATTTTAAGAAACAAAGACTATAGTATTATTATCATTTTACAATTTTTAATATAAAGAGATAATAATGGATTCATGGAAAAAATTTATCATTATCTCTATGATTCACTTATTTTATTGATATGAATTATGATTAGGAGGACTTTTAATCTATAGACTTTAATATTTGAATTATGTCATGAAAGAATAATTAAAAGGCAAGGTCAACGCATCCAAACGCAAAGGTCAACTTCTTGAGTATTCTTTTGTATCTAATTATTTAATTTACGACATGGCTAGTTTTCTGTTTCTTTGTTTAATTTTACGTTAGTGAAAAAATATAGGGAGTATCATACAAGCAACTTGTTGGACAAATAAGATTTCATCTGGCCCCATAGTTGTAAGACTTGTAGTAGTGCTTCTTCTGTTTCTTTTTGAGTCAAATCAATTTATATATATTACTGTCATCACATAGTGAAAGTAGTCAAAGTTGATAAAATAGGAACCGACCAAATTAAAGTTTAACAAGTTCAATATAGATCATCAACATAAGTTATGATGATATAGTTACGATTAGAGTTGTTAATATGGGCTAGCCCATTTCATCCAGGCTAGCTCATACAGACTTTGATATTTTATAGGTCAGGTCGGGCTAGTCTATTTTAAGTGTGCGCCAGAAAACGGTCGATTCAATCCAAAAGTATGTGGGCTATAGGCTTGTTGGACCAGTCCACTTTTTTTAGAATTATATTATTTTTAGAATTATTAAATTAATTATAAATTACAATTTAAGAATATTATCACAGACAAAACAATATTACATGATGTTAAATGTTACTATTTTTTAATCAAATCTACAAATAAAATTATCTTTATAATATGCATTAAGTATATTTTCAAGTAAAAGTATAAATATCTAAACAAAAATACTAACCTAATTGTTTTGAGTCTGGACTCTCTTTAATTTTAAATTTTTATTATTACATTATATTTTTTAATTAATTTTTATTGATCCACGAGCTGGTCCTATCGATATTTATCAAGCCCCACAAATCAGCAGACTTATTCAGGTCGGGTTAAAATACCCTTTTTCTCAAATGGGCTTCTAAAATCATAGCCCAGACCTATTAAATTCTGGGCTAGGCTAGGCCGGTCCAACAGACCTAACCCATATTGACGGCTCTAGTTACGATCCTTCTAATTTAAAACTCTCACTAATTTGAACATCCAAAAAAAATCATTAAAAGTGTCACTTCTCAAAAATTAGCCCTGCAACTCATGATTTGAACTTATTAAGTATCAATATGGGTACCAAATATCAAGTATTGGGAATATGAAAATGTATTTAAAACTACGGAGAATGTCTTTGCAAACAAAATTTTAGGGCTTGAAGCCCATTCCTTTTGAGCTAACAATAGAAGAGTTGCAGAGCCCAAATTTTCAGTCTGCAAATATAACATGGGCTGAATAACCATCTGCAGTACTATTGGGCGTTCTTTTTATCAAGTGGACTAATTAATAGGTCCAGTGCGTTAATAGCCACTTGGAGCATCACTGTTTAAAAAATAATTATAAATCATAAAGTATTTGATATTTAGCCATCTCAGAGTATCAACTTTAAATTTACAGGACTGAATTGAAAATTCTTGTTCTAAAATTCGAAACTTCAAACATATCTGAAATTTGGAACTATCAAACCTAACTTCATATCCGAATATCTGAAGTAGCCACCAATTTAATACTCATAGAAAAAGACAAATTTATACTCCAAATATGAGAACTTGACTAACTACTAATTAGAAAAAGATTACTTCAAATAGAAGCATAATAGAGGCGTAGTTTTTTTCATAATCCATAGAGGAATGTCTAAAATCTTCCAAATAAGAATTAGAAACAATTGAGTACACATTTCACATTTAAGCAATGTTCATGAATAAAAGCAACTTGTGAATCAAACAAGTATAGGGACAATTTTGCACATTCCGCAAACAACAAGGGTAAGTTTAAATATTTTTTATTTACTTTGTTAGCAATACTAGCAAATGTGTGTCAATGCTAAACATAAAGCAAAAACAAAACCAACGTCTCAAATTGCAAAACCAATTTTGAGTCTTTTCCGTGAAATCTTTATATTGATTATTTAGTCGATTTGATTTTGATTTTTCAATTAAATATCCCTTCCTGCTTTAATGGTAAAGCCTACAAATTGAGTTGCTGGTCATGTTCAATTGCAATTAAATAAAACCACATGGAAGAGTTAAATGAGCTATAGGACTATCAAAAATGTCTTTGTCCAATGTAGCACATGACTGTGTTTCCTATTATATGATCTGTTATTGACTCTTGTCCATTTCTTGGCTGAGTAAGTGTATGGTCCTACCCCATGTGACTACGTAATCCTAAATTATCTAAATAATTTATTATCTGGACTCTCTTCATTTAGAAAAACAGAAAAGCAACAAACTATCGAGACATAGACTCCATATTTAGCAGGGGCCATACATGACATAACAGAGTTAAACCGATCATTTTGTTTATCAGTATATATGACTTTGATGCTCTTACGAAGCTATATATATTTGAGTGATTCGTCTCATTTTATGTGACTGTATTTGATGATTGAAGAAGTA